GCAAGCGCTGATCGCGAACACGGACAGGTCCCCGGGGCGGGAAGGAGACGGTGCGGGACGGCAGCAGCTACGTGATGGGTTGTTCTCAGGCAGGGCTGGTTGGCTCCGGATTGGAGGGGTGTCCAGCTTCAAATTGGGAAAAAAAAAAAAAAAACCCACAGGAACAGACAGATGCCTGTCGTCCGACACTAAATGTTTGCGGCCGGGCTGGGAATCCGATACCGCTCTGAAATAGCCCTGGCCCCAGGCTGCAGGTAGATCTCCCACCAGCTCTGCAGGCACTAGAAAAGGTCAGTTGCCTAGTTAGCTGGAACGCGGCCCGGGAGCCAAGCCAGCCCGCGAGCCGGAGATGGCTGCGCGCCCCGCGCGGGGCTGGTGTTCGTTTCCCCTGTTGCTCATGGGGAAAGGTGGGCTATTTGCTGCCAGCTGCCCCATCTGTTCAGCTGTGGTCACCGTGCCTCCTCCCACCAAACACTTGAGTCTGACCTCAAAACGAATAAGCAGAGGACAGGAGAAAGGGAAGGCACAAACCTACCCCACCTTTTACTGGGCAGTATTTTCAAGTAATTTGATCTGGGATTTTCCCTGTTACTCCAGGGTCAATCTGAAACTGCTTGGAATCATCATACTTGATAGATCACAGCTGTGTCAAAGACTGCTCTTGTCTGCCTTCTCATTTATTTGAATTAGACAGTGAGGAGGGTGTGATATTCCTCGTGTGCGCCCTATTTTGGAGATACCTGTTTTTTTTTTTAAGGTTTGACAACCCAGAATTTCCCAAAGTCCTAGCTTGCAATAATGATCACATGTGCACAGGGGATGAGGGTATAAGATACCACCTTTTGTCTCCAAATTGAATTTGCTCCCATCTCTAGTTAGTCTGTTTATAGTGATGCTGGGTCACAGTCCAGTTCCTGCTAGAGAGTTGTCCCCCTCTGACGCCCTCTGGCCGCTTCTGCTGAGAGTCTGAGCAGAAGGACTGAATTCCCCATCGCCTCCAGCAGTGCTGCCTATGGCTGGTCCCCTGTGAAGACCTGCTTCCAGGACATAAATTGGGGTCTCTCTTGTCCAGAGATGTTCTGGCTTGTCTCGGGACGGCTGCTGTAGCTTCACACCCCAGGCAAAGGCCAAGGGAAAAGCCTCTCTTTGCTCCCACGTACTGATAGGATGACTTCCCAGCGTCCGCACCTCTGCCATGGCTGTAAGCGCTGAGCTAGTGTTCAAAGAGAGACTCTGCCCTCTCCTAACACGTGTACCCATCAGCAAACAGCAACAGGGTAAAGTGGCACCTTCAGGCTCTGACCGTCAGTAGCCGAGGGAGGGCTTTCTGGAAAGCTGCCTTCACGGCATGTGACGCAGTTTGATGGTTTGATTACCCCTGGCCTCTCCCAGGCCCGTGTCTGGCCTTGAGCCTTCTGAACAGAGCAGTTGTGTGGCAGTTTGCTAATGAGGTGACTCCCTGCACGGGCAACGCATTGTCAGGTGGAAGAAGAAACGGAGGCAGGCCGAGGGAGAGGTTTACGATCTTTTCTGGCCTCCCAGCCATGGATAGGAAGCGGGAGCAAAGAGAGAAGGTACAGTATCCCCACACTGCCGTGATTGACCCCCTTCGTTATTTCCCAGCCCTGCTCTCCATTCATGCTTCAGTAGTTCCCCCTTTTCTCTCTCTCTCTTTCTTTTTTCCTCAAAACCTTCCTTCCCCAAACTTTGATCCCCTAGTTCTTGCCAGGTCCTACAAGGAACACAGAGTATTTTCTCTGGGGGCTCAGCACCATGGAGAAAACTTTGTCACCTTGCAGATTTGGCCCTTTCTTTCTACTTCTCTGTGCTTACCTTTGGGAGGAGGCAGGGGGATGGCTACTTTCTCATTGCTTTGGAAATCAAAGGGCATGTTCTCACTGGCTTTGCATCCTCAGAGCGAAGTCCAGAGTCCTGTAGGAGCGTTTGATTCACTAGATCCAACAGAGGGGGAGGAGCAGAGGGAACTCAAAAACTCTAGAGTACAATTTAAACATTTTCAGGCAGAAGGGTGTCCAACCCTGGTCACCTAAGGGGACGAACTAGCAAGTTCATTTCCTGGTTAGCAATGGGGTTTACTCTGTTCCATTTCTCTGCCTGAGGAGATGAGCGCAGTGCTTAGGTTTTCGCTCCCACGTATCCCAGACTGATCCTAGGGGACTGTTGGCATCACCCACAGTTTCTTGGACTGCTCTGCCTGCTCCCTCCCCAAAGGTGTCTGTACTTGGGCCAGGCCCACACTAGTATAATTGGATGGAGGATCTTCTAATATAGCTGGGTCTTCCAGTAACTGGGAGAACCTCCAGTACTATAAAGGAGCATTGCCCTAAAGACCGCACATCGCAGTCAACCCTTCCCTTCCATCATCTCTGGCCAGCCAGAGAAGGGGGATTTCAATCTTGTCCCAGGCTTGACTCAACTAAATTCTGCGTCCTAAAAGCCCACTGTGTAGTTTGATTTGGCACAAGGGTTCTGCTTACCTTTCTGGCCTTGTGCTGCTGTGCGCTTTAAGAAGGAATGAAGCAATTTTTGACAATACTCAAGATGAATATTTCTTCCATAACGTACTTTCTTCCCACTTACCATGGGATGGAAAGGTTTGACTTTTGCTGAACACATGGAGCCTATCAGCTCGAAGGTGCCCAGAAAGTGGGAGATGCATCATTATCCTAGCAGCATTTCCTCCAATGAGCTGAGAGTCAGTATCTTGGGAGATCGAGTTTCTCTTCTGCACTTTTTCTGTATATCCTACGACCATCTCTAGCATGTGATCGGTAGACCTGTCTTGCATTTGTGCTTTTGAATGCTCTGCTCCTATGCTGAGACGCCTCTGTGTTCTCCGAGAGGTTGGGATGGAGATTACCAGATGCGAATTACTTGCTGCCTCATTCACAATGGGAGGAAGTTTTGTCTCGACATTTGCTCTGTGCTTTGCAGGCCAGGCCCTATGGCCTGCTGAAACCAACAGCTTTAGGCAAGATCCCAGGCAGATTCCTACTTCATCAGGAAGCATTGCCCAGTCTCCCAGTGCCACCACTCCAGCAGACCCTGGACCGTTACCTGCAGGCTCTGCAGCCCATCATCAGCGAGGAGGAGTGGAACCACACACACGAGCTGGTGAATGAGTTCCGCAAACCGGGAGGCGTTGGGGAGAGGCTGCAGAAGGGCCTGGAGAGAAGAGCCAAGAAAACGGAGAACTGGGTAGGTCAGGACTCCATCCCCAGGCTGTGATTAGGAAGGGTGGAGGTCTGATGCACACCTCTCCAAAGTCCTGGGTGCATCCACTGGCATCTGTGTTTTCACTGGTTTCATCTTCCTAACCAGTCTGCTGCTCACCTTTCTGAGCTGCATGAGCTTCTCACCAGCTGTCACTTGGATGAGCAGAGATTCATGGCAGGACAGGGAGTCCCTGCCCCTCTCTGTGGCTGCTGAAGCCCCTAAACCTGCAAGCATCACACAGCTGCCCCAAGAAGTAGGAAACCCTCTGTTCCAGCCTTGCACCTAGATCCCCCACTGCCTTGCTCAAATTCCCCTCTTCCCTTCCACACACAAAGCGTAAAACCCAAACTGTTTGCAAAGTGCGGGACAGAGCTGGGGGCAGGATGTTGTGGCTGTTCAGCTGAGCTTGGACCAAACAGCAGCAGATACCATGCCTGCGTGTTACCTTTCTCCGTCCCAGCTCTCTGACTGGTGGCTGAAGACAGCTTACCTGGAGTATCGCCTGCCAGTTGTGGTTCACTCCAGCCCAGGCGTGGTTTTACCTAAGCAGGATTTTCTGGATCGGCAAGGTCAGCTCAGGTAAAGTCCTTTTCTGCCTTCCCCTAGGTTTCTGATGGGATGAGCTATCTCTGCTGGACAGACAGGGAGGTATTCAGGCTGGTCGGAAAAGGGAGTATTTAGCTTGTGGTCCCCAAATTTGATAGCTGTCTATGCTGGGCAAGAGGGTTGTAGGGACAAGGAAAGACTGCTGGGCTGTAAGGAAGCTCCTAATTGCACCAGATTAAATAGCTCACCAACAGGGAAAACAAAACAGTCCAGTGGCTTAAGCTCTAAACCATGACTCAAAATATAGGTTTAGGTCTTTGCTGTAGCACAGATCTCTGCATGGATAGACACACTAAAGACTAGGAGGCACTAAGATTGTGTGTGCAGTTAAAGGAGGCATAAAAAGTAGCCCAGGCACTAAGAGAGACCATATAGAAATGCCTTTGGAGTCTGCCAGCCCATAGGGATGGGGGGAGCCTGCTGCTGCCATTCAGACTTCTTCTGTCCCCTCCTGTGTCATTACACTTGTGGATTTATAGCTTAGAAGACCAACGTGTCACCAACCTCTCTCCACCCCAGCTCTTCCTTGCAATCAAACTGCCATTCTTATGGCTCCCTTCTGCTAATGAGCATCACAGTGTCCCTCAGACCACCCCACTGCTGCCACCGAGCACATGTGATTCATATTTTCTCTTCCTCATGGGCCCCCTTTCATTTTTAGCAACCAACCATCACGGGCACATATCAAACTCTACAAAACTTAATGTTGGCCTTTATACAGGGTTACCTTTTCCACAGTAACCAGTCATCGCTGCTCCAACATATCAAAATACCAGCCGGGGGGCAGTGAGGGCAAGAACAAATTCCTCCTTTCCACTCCCTTGGTTATATACGACCAGGAGTGCAGAGGGTAAGCCTTACCAGGAAGTGCAAGACTAGACATCTTATGAGCTTTTGCTCATATAATTCACCTTTAAGTCATCCAAATGGAAAAAAAAAGAGATTTTGAGCATTACGTAGCATCCCAACCAGTGGAATGAAGCAGCAGCATGAGAATCTGAACTCCCATGTAAAACAAAATTTAAAAGCGTGATTGTGTAGTTTGCAGCTGCAGAAATAAGTTTGATGGCATGGCTTGAGACAAAAGATTCAGAAACCAGAAGGCAAATTTAAGAAGTGCAGTTCTCCAATCCTTAATCTGGCAACGCTGCAGATTGAAAACAAGCCAACTAACCAACCTCTCCCCCTATCTCCCCCTCAAGCTCTAGCTCTGCTCCCAGGCCGTTTGCTCTCTGGAAAAAAACATAGGCTCTCTCACTTTTGCTTCCCAGCTGTTTTACTTTCTCAGGTTTGTGCAATAAAGCTGGGAAGTTTTCACTGAAAACTACTTTGGAGGATGTGTGTTTTATTTAATAGCCCTTAGGTTCTTGGAGTTATCTCCTTTGGTCTTTACTAGGGATTGGGAGGCTGAGCAAGCCTAGATGACACTGCCTGCAAATGCTAAATGCTCCCCCCACTTTAATGCCTTCGAAGCTCAGTTGACTTGAACCTCTTGTCACAATGACCTCCTTCCTGCTGTGTGCGGGTGGGAGCTCCTAGGTCAGAGAAGTCCAACCTGTCACTCTCAAGCCAGGCAGCCTGATGTGGCTCATCAGAGCCTCTCTCCCCACTGGGAGTTGGCCTTGGCAGTGTATATGTGGAGCCTAGTAAACACAATGCCTCAGCATCAGCATGCAGCCTATCTTCATTTGTTTCAGATCCTCCACTGCCAGAGGAATGGTCTTAGGATTGCTTTAGCAGCAGAACATTCATTTGGTAGGAAGGCTGAGTCAGCCGTGTCAAAGTCTTGGACACAGGGAGACACAACTGCACCTTATCCTGAAACTCAGAGGTGGCCACTGGCCAAGGAAAGGCAAAAGTCCCCTTTTTGGTGTAGTTTTAATGCTAAGACTCAGAACTAGGAGTGACAAAAATCACAAGGCATCCGTGAACAATGCTGCTGTTAGACAGTCATTTATGCATCTGGACTGAACCCTACTTTCTTGAAGGTTGTCCAGACTTCACTGGTTACACAAAAAGAAACACTGAAGTGCTATGTGGTAGGGCTATCCAGCAGTGTCAGCTCTCAGACTCAGAGTGGCTTCACCAGCTATCCAAAGACACACACAATAGGGACCTGGCAGAAAGGCTGAACCTAAGGAGCAGAGCCCTGCTCAGCTCTCTTCTCAGTCCCAGCTCTTCAGGGCTTGTATCTCTACTGATTACATTCAATTGTTTTCCAGGTTTGCCGCCAAGCTGATCGAGGGCGTCCTGGATTTCAAGACAATGATTGACAAGTGAGTTAATGGCCCTTCCTGAGTGTTCCTTTCTGTCATAGAGAGGCTGAGCTCAGTCCATATATCTCCCTCTCAAGTAGAAAGCCAAGGGAAAACAGCACATATCTGAAGAGAGATAATGTAATCAACATCGCTGCTCACTGCCAAGGTCACCACCACTGCAAAAAAGCAAATTTACTTTTCTCTCTTCGTGCTCTTTGTTTACCTTAATACTTGCATCGGCACGCGTACACGCTTAGCGGGAGTGAACCTGAATGACAGTCCTGTGGAGCTGCATACTTTGTTTTCCCAAACAATAAGTTGCAGCTCAGGCAGCGGGAATGTGTCCGTCGTCTTTGGGCTTCTGGTGTTTCTCAAGTCTGGGCAAGCCACGGTGAGCTCTAGAGAAATTTGTTCCTCCCTACCCCTTCTCTTCTGAGCCCCAACCAACCAACCTCTGTTGAACATGGCTTATTTATGTTACATTCCCCAAACATGTTTATATGTTTTTATAAGACAGAAGAGTGATTTTTTTTTTCCCCTTTCCCAAGGGAAAAGCCAGCAAACAGACACTTTCTGTAGCCCCTACTAAGAAGGCTGGTGGGAACAGGAAGGAATGGCCCCACTTAAGACTGCCTGCACCCACATGTTTAAACCTTGCTGGAGTGAGTGTAGCTGGCTGCATGGCTAAGCCTGTCTTGTATTGGGACCGCAGGCCTATTTCATTGCTGTGTTTTTTTCATTCCCTCCTTCCTTACCTTGCCGTATTCTCCAGTGAGACCCTCCCAGTGGAGTACATGGGTGGGAAGCCCCTCTGCATGAACCAATACTACCAGATCCTCTCATCCTGCCGCATTCCCGGGCCCAAGCGGGACTCCATTGTCAACTATGCCAAAGGCAAAAAGCAGTCCAGACACATCACGGTGGTCCACAACTTCCAGGTATGGCTTTCAAGGATATTGGTTTGAGGATATCCCTTTCAGCTGGCTGTGCCAGGGGAAAGGGAACAACCCACAAGGTTTGCCTCAACAGGGATTCATTTCTGCTCCCTTTATCCCCTTTGGCCTCAGCTAGCAAACACCTGGGATTGCCCTGTGAGAGCAAGGGACTGCAAGGCAGAAAAGGTCTCTCTTTCTGTTTCTTGTCCCTGCAATTTCCATCTTTGAAAGCCCACTTAACAGACTGGGTCTGGAACTGGAAACTGCAGGTGGAAAGGGGATAATGAACCCTGCCACCACGGACAAGTCTCAGAAAAAGAAATTCCCCTTATGTATTGACCCTTGTTACCGTGCTTTCTGAGCTCCTTAAAACCCTGACTGTATTTATGCCCTGCAAGGGAAGTTGGACTTGGATCTCTCAATTCTGAGCAGCCTTTAAAGGTCTCCTTGTAAGCCATGTTCCTAGGTCTGGTCTTACCTCCTCAAAGTGGCTGCTCCTTGATTCTGGGGTTGGACAATACAGATCTCCCATTTTCTGTCTTTGTCTGCTCTTCTCATCTTCAGTTCTTTGAGTTGGATGTTTACAACAGTGATGGAAGTCCCCTTACAACTGACCAGCTCTTCATTCAGCTGGAGAAGATCTGGAACACCTCCCTCCAAACAAACAAAGAGCCTATTGGGATCCTCACCACCAACCACCGAAACAGCTGGGCAAAAGCCTACAACAACCTTCTCAAAGGTCCGTGCAGCCCCTCCCATGGAAGGGCTAACAATCACTAACTACTAACCTCCCCACTGTGCTCTGCTTGGCTCTTTCCTTTGAAAAGCCTTTGGAAGCTTGTTCTGGGCAGATACGTGAGCTTTCCACACCCAAAGCAGCAACTTAATCTCATTGCAAAGCACTCCTATTTCTGTTTTGGAAGCTACACGGGTGAAGCAGGGAAGCTTGGCTAACTGACCTGAAATCGTAGAGTTTTTTTTGCCTTGCCGAATGGGTGGGAGGTAAGAACCATGCAAAGAGGAGTGTGACTGTAACACGCTCCCATCTGTAACAACCCAACCACCTACAGTTTTAGTAAGTGGAAGCGTAAGACAAGACCCCTAAATGACCGATATTGCATTGAGGTACAATGGGGATCCAGTACTGGGTCCCTCGATCCTGCTCTTTCACATTTCAGCCTCCCTCCAGGTAAAACAAGCTTTTCAACTCCTCTTTGTTATTTCCTGTTCCCTTTCTGTCCCAGACAAGACCAACAAGGAATCTGTGCGTGCAATTGAGAAGAGCATTTTTACTGTCTGCCTTGATGCCCCAATGCCACGGGTGTCCGAGGACATCTACAAGAGCCGTGTGGCTGGTCAGATGCTGCATGGTGGAGGAAGTCGCTGGAACAGCGGGAACCGATGGTTTGACAAAACCCTTCAAGTAAGTGCTGATGCCATAGAGACACTGAAGATGAGGGTCCAGAGGAAATGCTTTTTCCTGAGACTACAAAGGTCTAACAGACCCCAGAAACCTTTTGCAGGAAAGCTTTCCTCATAACCATGGAGAAATAAGGGGGACAAGGCGTGGAGGCTGACAGTATAAGATCCTTTGGTTTCCCTTGCAGCCACCACAAGCACTCTCTTCTTGCCTCAGGGATTTTTCAGTTCTTTCACTGCTTCTGCCCACGCTTGTTCAGTGCAGCCTTGTTCAGCACAGCTCTTCTTTGTGTTCCTTGTAAATCAATTTTCTGCCTGCGGGGAACAATGCCTTGTCTGCTTGGAAGCAGCCCAAACGTAGGGAGGTCTGTTTCTTGTATTTCCCCCAGGCTTGTCACTTTTCCCGTCTCTGCCAGACGCTACCCTTTTTTTTTTTTTTTTTTCCCCCCCAAGCATCAGCTGCCATCCCACAGTATCCCTCTGATCTCTTCTCCTTTCAGTCTTGTCACGATCCTTCAAGAGCAGCTGCTATTCGAGTTTCTCCTTCTGTATTAGTTGATCTATCCTGACTCCTAGACAGTAGCAACGTGCTTTAAAAGAATTCTTCCCTTATCTGCTGAATCCTTCTTAATGTTTTCAGAAATTTTGTTCCTGTTTGGAACTCCTCATTGATGGAATAAAGCTTAAATGTTTCAGCTAATTGAAAAGTAAGGGTAAGTCAGCACAAAGTGATATTATTCCAGTATTACATGAGCTTCTAAGTAAATCAAACCCATTGAACCACTCCATGTTGCCAAAGCGCTGAGCTCACCAGTATACAACATTCTTTTATCCACATAATTTCTGCAAACCCATGTAGCAGTGATACCAGCTCCTCTTAGGCCCACTGGAAGACTTCCATTGCTGTTCTGCTAAATGAAACCCTAATATGTTACTTTCCTAGCAGGCAGGAATACGATCGCTGTCCATTCTGATACAGAGCAATGAGATGCTAAGATCCCTCTCTGCATAACTCCTACTTCAGGCTGCAACTCTCTCTTCACTGCTTTGTCCTCTCATACTTCTCTCACAGTTCATCATTGCTGAAGACGGCTCCTGCGGTCTTGTATATGAGCATGCTCCCTCAGAAGGCCCACCTATCGTTGCTCTTCTGGATCACATCGTGGAGTACACGTGCGTCCTGCTTCCTATATTTTTTCCTCTATTTTGGAGCTGGGTTTTAAGCCACCGTATCCCCAAGAATATGCTCTTCACAGCTCACGCCCCAGGAGCTTGCTCTGGAGGAAGGGTAGTGCTCTGCTGATTTAGTTATTGCAGTTCTTTTGTTGTTGACCAGGACTGAGTAGCCCAGCTCACACAGGTACTTTTTTGCTACTGCTCCCATTTGCAAGTAAAACCACTTTTCAGAGTTAACAGGACTTTTGCGTGGCAAAGCTGTTCCTCTGGGTGGAATACACAGAGGAGATTTCATTCATGCCCTTCAACAAAACTCCAAAACAAAACCAACTTTGTAATGGCACCGTAAAGAATTTTTCAGCATGTGACAAGCATCATAAGGTGCTAGGAATGATCTCTTTGAGCATGTCTATCCAGAATTCTGCTGTGTCAAGCCTTGCATCAAAGATCTGCTTAAACAGCTTCACAATCACTTCTTTATGCAGGAAGAAGCCAGAGTTGGTAAGATCGCCTATGATTCCTTTGCCGATGCCCAAGAAGCTGCGGTTTAACATCACTCCAGAAATCAAGACTGACATAGAGAAGGCAAAGCAGAACCTCAACATGTGAGTATGAAGCAGTAGAGAAGTATGGTGAGTGACTGAGGGAGTAATTCACGTCCCCATTTTGGAACCTGACAGTGGTTTAGGCAGCCACTCAGTGAGGCTTTCCTCACTGCAACCAGGGAGTTTTCCCAGTGACTTCTTAGGTCAACACTGAATCTTGCCAAAAAGCACGCTAAAGCCACCTGCCAGGAGCAAATTCAGCAAAGATGCTGAAAAGGGGCGATTGCTTACCCATTCCACCTTAGTGGGAAAGAGCACTTTACTGGATCTAACTAGGGATACTGGCGCATACACAGGCATGAGCCCATCTAACCCAGCTTACCTTCAGCAATGGCCAAAAAAAAAAAAAAAACCACTCACCTCCACAGTGCTGTCCGAACACAGAGCTTCATCTTGTCACACAGTCTGTATGTGACAGAGCCCTCTGTCCTTGCGTAGATCATAACCCAGTTCTCTCTGAGCCTCGTGAAAACAAAGTCCATACCTTTATGTTACAACAACAAGCAAGAGAAAAAGGAACGTTTTTGCTTCCCTTCCTTGCAGAATGGTCCAAGACCTGGATGTGAACGTCATGGTCTTTCATCAGTTTGGGAAAAACTTCCCCAAATCAGAGAAGATAAGTCCTGATGCTTTTATCCAGCTGGCCTTGCAGCTAGCATATTACAGGTAAGACCACCACTAGGTAGCTTTTCAGTCTCTTCACCCTTCAGCATCAAACTCAAATATCCGAGTCTGTTAAAGGTGCCACAGCCAAGTTACCAGCAGGCTGTCATGGCCTGTTGTCATTGTATAGCCCTATGCAGGCTCTTAAACCCTGTCTTTTCCCCATGCACTGGGTCTGAACATCTCACCTGTGGCAGATGCCAAGGAACAAGTGAAATTTACCCCTCTAAGCGCGCAGAATCTTTGCAGAAGTGCTTCAGAGATCAGCTCTCAATGGGCCCGCCAAACGGCTACTCCTGTCAAGGCAAACTCACTCCTATGACTTTCTTCATCTCCCAGGATGTACGGCCATGTCTGTGCCACATATGAGAGTGCATCACTAAGGATGTTCCGTCTGGGCCGCACAGACACCATCCGCTCCACTTCTGTGGACTCTCTTAAGTTTGTGCAAGCAGTGGACAACTCTGACAAATCGGTGAGGAGCTCAAGAAGTGGAGTGAAAGGACTCCACTCCAGAAAGAGAGGGAAGCTGTCTATTTGGGTAAACCTGTGTCAACTGGTTTCAATGAACCAGTACTGCATCTGATAAGAAGCTGTGTTAAAATGTACCTTGGAGTATATAGTTATACACCTTGGGTTTCATTTGGCTTTCCTTTTGTTATGTATTGATAGCCAGAAAAACTGCATGTGGAGATTTCTAATCACACCAAAACGTAGCATGCCCCCTCTAAATGTCTGTTTAGCCACTCAAACTAAGTTCCACTACTGATGGATGGAGAACTCCATTCAGAATGAAGTAACTCAGCCAGGCAAAATGGTTTCAAAATTAATGTTAGCTTAATATAGACACAGATACGCCCTCCATCCTAGAGGAACAGCCAGAATAAGGCTATGCGTTCTGTTTTTAAAAAAAAAAAAAAAAAAACACACACCTAACAGCCAGGTCTGTGTGTTCTCCTCAGGACCAGGAGAAAACAGACTTGCTGAGGAGAGCTACCCAGGCCCACAGGGAATACACTGATATGGTGAGTGTCCTCTATGCAGCCAGGGTTGGGGTTTTGCATAGCACGTGAGAGTTCTGGCGAAAGAAGAGACCTTAAGAGCTTTCAGTATGCTGGCATAGCAATCTGGCCATTCACGCTCTTGCACAGGACTAACTGATCTGAGAGTACTCTGGGGAATCTGAGGAGTTGTTCGAGTGTCCTTGGTGACTGGCCTAAAGGAGAGAATCAAATATTAAAACAGCTTCAGTTCTCCCAAACATTGTTGCTGGTAAATGCCATAGCTGCTTGAGGACTCCTTAAACCAGAAAGCCTGTAGAGAGGAACTGTAAGGTTGATTCCACTGAGGTGTTTGACTTCACAATCCTTACAAACAAGACTGACTTTTAGTTCTAAAGGCAGGATCTAGGTTTTTTTCCCCTAACTTTAAACATTAAGATATTGAGATGTGTTTCCCCCTTGCCCCCTACAAAGAAGGGGATAATTTTGTTTGCTTGTGTGCTAGACAGGCCCTCATCTAGTCTTTTTTTCCTTACAGGCAATAAATGGGAATGCAATAGACCGCCACCTCTTAGGCTTGAAGCTTCAAGCTATTGAGGACCTAGTGAGCATGCCTGAACTGTTCATGGACACAGCATATGCTGTTGCAATGCACTTCAATCTCTCAACCAGCCAGGTAGGACTCATCTGAGTAAAACCAGGAGTGCTCTCTTTGATTCTCTGCATTGTCTTTTTCGTCTCCACGTTTCACCATCATCCCTTTCCATTAGAAACTAATCTCTGTTTAGGGAGAAAAATTGTTAAGCCTGCTTCCAAGATTAGATCTGCAGCTTTATGGAATTACAGTAGGCACAGCCCTTCTCAACCCTCTCAAACACTAGCAGAGCCAAAGGCCAAGATCACCAGAAGTTTTGGTGTCTACCTGCCTGTGATATCAATTGGATTTAGATGCCTAAAAAGCTTTGCATTCATCATCTGTGCTATGGTTCTTACTCATACACCTTGGCTTGTGACTTATTACAAGCTTATCTTGGTAAGTAGTGCTCCTTTGCAAAAGCATATGAAAACACATTGCTACTAAGTGGCAGAATCCAGCACCTGTGCACTCATAGGTGGGTCTGACCAAAAAGGCCCTCTTCTAGAGCATTTTCATGAGATGGCAATTTTTTCTACTGTTTCCAGTTGTTACCATTTGCTGTCTACATGTTCTTTCTGGCTGAATAGAAGTTTTTAATCACATTGTCTCCACAGGTCCCAGCAAAGACAGACTGTGTGATGTGCTTCGGTCCTGTGGTTCCGGATGGCTATGGAATCTGTTATAACCCTATGGCAGAACATATCAACTTTGCAATTTCAGCATTCAACAGCTGTGCTGAGACAAATGCAGCTCGCATGGCACATTATCTTGAGAAAGCGCTGCTAGACATGAGGATGTTGCTCCAGTCTACTCCCAAATCCAAACTGTAAGAGGCAAATATAATGCCAAAGCCCTAAATTAAGGGGCTCTCTCACGCACTGAAGTTCCCAGTTCCTCAGAAAATGGTTGAGGGGATTGCTGGCCTCAACGGGATCCTAGGAGAGCATCTACCATTTGTTTTCAACAACAGATTACGAATGGCCATCCACAGGTATTAGACTGTGTGTTGAGAGGAAACATTGTCTTAATCCAACATGGAACTGACTAGTCCTCTCCCATTACTGCAAAGTGTACCTTCCTGTCCTCAGAGAGGACCAAAACATGATCTTTTTATGGAAGTTACTGTGAAGGAATACAGAAAGCACAGTACTTACCAGTATCTAAATCAATTTGGTGAGGAAGGTAGTTCTTCTCCAGGAAGAGCAGGGAATGATGCTTATTATATGATGGAACTACTGTAAGACCAAGTCTTTTTGCTGGTTTAGGCTTTTGAAGAGTCTGCAGCATCTTTCTTGACTAAAGGATTTTCTGTCACTGCAGCAATTGAAATTTGGCTAGGGGAGAGATAAATTCTACAAATCAGAGCAGATCCAATTTTGTTAGAGTGCACTGCACTACTTATCCCAAGCCCCTGACCATTATATGCTTTACAGGTATGTGGATCTCTTTTCTGTTGCGCTGTTCCTACTAACAACAGGGTATCATCACTACAGGCTAAGTTTTTTTGTTGTTGTTTTTTTGTGACATTACCACCAGTCACGGCTACAGAACTCAATTCAGGCTCAAAAAAAACCCCTCCCCCCCCCCCCCCCCCAAAAAGCTTCTACAGAACTTCTCACAAAGGTTTGTCTAGCTTTAGTTTTATGTACTTCAGTGTTTGTGGAGATGAGAAGGGCTTGCCTATACATTTAGCAGGACTGTTGTCCAACTCACCTCATTGCATGTTTCTTTGGAATTGAGGAAGAGAAACATAACATTGACCTTCTGTTTACAGAAGCCACATGGATGGTCTCCTTCAGGACACGTTTTAAATCTATAATGCAATTTTACACCTTGCTGTCAGGGGCAACATCTTTATGCATAACATGTTATGCTTAAGTTTGCATAAAACAAAGTGCTTCTGATCAGGAGCTCCAGAACACGCTTCCATTTCTGGCCCAGAGTTCAAGACTGTCAGAGCCAAAGGAAGAAAAAAAAAACCACACAAACAGTTGCAGAGTCACCTTTCTTCCACATCATTCTGCTTTAACAAGGCAAAAGGTCTTGAAAAGCAGGAATAAAGCTGAGAACTTGCAGGCAGCACAGATGTTTGTTCACTGTGGCAGCCATTGTTCTGGCAGTAACAGTGCTGCACCTTTTCTGCCACTCTTGGATTTTTTTTTTCTTGCTGTCATGTTACTCGGATTTGTACTAGCTCTATTCAGTGAAAGATAATGATCTCATGACAGTGCTTTTATGTTGGGTTGACAAACTTGAGAGGATAAAAGATTGTATAGATTTATACATTAAAAAAAAAATACAGTTTTAGCATTGGAGGTAGTGCTTACAAAAATTCCTATGAGTCTGCCAGAATCCAAGCTCCCAACTATCCTTTTAAATAGCAGTATGTAAAACCACATGGGAGTGAAGAAATCTAGTGCTATTTCTGCAACAGGGATTTAATATTTAAACTGCACACACTTCAAGATGTGGCTGCTGAGACATCACCATGAACAAGAAGAACTAGGAGTGTGATGGCCTATTTTGTTACAGGAAAACATCTGATCAACTGCCACTTTTCTGGTCATAGGCCAGCAAGGGGCATGGTCAAAGTGCCTTGGTAAACGTATGTGAAGAAACTTGCACTAAACCTGTTTAGAGGGGAAAAACAGATCATTCTGATCTGCTTCTTTAAAGATACAAGCCAAAACTATTACGTGTTTGTTTTTTTTTAAAAGGGTGTTATTTCAAAGCTTCTATCTTATACCTAAATAAACCTTAAAAAAGAAAAATTTAACTGAAACTCACCTGCACAGCCAGTGATTGTATGAACTGCCACTTTCACATCATCTACATGGATTTAGATTTTGCTGATTTTATAGAAGAATCCTGAATGGAGTAAGATAGTCCAAAACTAACAGGAGCACTACACACCTGGAAGCAGACATCCCTGCTGACTCCTCCACTATGAGTTAGACTGCAACTACGAACAGAATACTCAGTATTATCAAGATTTAAGTGATTATGTAAATACTACGTAAGAGACCACACCTTGCTGGAATGAAGTCCGGTTTTATGGAGCTTTTTTCAGCAAAAGGAGTATTTTTTTTCCAGAGTAATAATCCTCCCCGCTTAACTGAAATAACCTCTGTACTAGGGGATGAATTATTTTTCCCTGTTTACAGTGCCTTCAACCACTGACACTACAGTATTGCCACTAAAGTATTTGAGACTGGCCCTTTTCTGTTTCCTCTCTTATCAAAAGGGAAGGCTCTCAAAGGAAGGTGCCTATTAAAGATTAAGCAGAAGTGTGCTCTACTGTGAATGCATCTCAGAAGATGGGTTTGATCTAGTCTTGGATCTAAATCTGGATATCCCACTAGCTTCAGTAGAGTATAGCTGCAAGAAGCACAGTATCACACTGAAAGTCAAAAGATTCTTAAACCATTTTATGCATCCTTAATGCTATGTGGAGCCAAAATTCAGATCAAAGTTGTTTTTTGAAGTGCTTGAAAGGACACTAAAATCATTACAAGTTTTTTCCTTTAAAAAAAAGTTTGTTCTTATTGTCCAAGTTCTAAATTGTTATGTCCTTCTGACTTAGTCCTTCTTGATTTTTTTGGTGTTTACCTACAAAATACTATATCCCCCTCCCTGTTTTTGACTGTCTGGTTCTTTCTCAAGAGATGTTCACAGTCTTAAGGCTGTATTACGTACAAGAATGTAAGTTCTGGAAAGACTACTGGTTTTGAGCAAATAATTACAGAAATGCATAGATTGAAAACATTCAACTAACTCATGGGGTATGAGTGCAATTTATGACACAGCCTAGTAGTGTTTGCATGCTTTGCTGGTTAGCTGTATTAAATACTGTTTTGATAGTGTATTCAGTGTCGTGCAAAGATTTGAAATGTTCTTCCAATAAACTTAAACACAATAAACAGATGAGTAATATGAAAAGGCTTAAATCTCCTTAGAAATTGCATAACTGTCTTTATAGGAGAATGTTTGTGGGGACCGCAAGAACAATGAACCACAGTGGTCTATCACCTTCCTTTTATTGTCTTAGTATCTCCATCCAGCCCTTGAGTACAGGGGAGGAACTAGAAAGCATCTGCTTGCAAAGCCATGTATTCCAAACAAAAAGTTTCATTTCAGAAAACTAGTGGCAGGAGGCTTCATACAATCATAGGATCATTAGGTAGGGCTGGAATCTCTTTTCCACACAGCATCGTTAAGAAAATGCATGGGATCACTAAAGAATTTCTACTATCCCAAGTATTGCAAAGCTTTCTAGAAAGGTACAGCAGAAGTAGGCAGAGGATGCAGATTACAACAATGAGTAGAGAACAGGAGAAAGTTGTTACAGCCTCTTACAAGAGCTCTTCTCCTTCTCCTTTACTGCCGAGCATTGGCGTAGGAAGCTTGGTGTGACGGCAACATGAAGCAGTACAGCTTTATACACTATACTGCTGTCTGCAAGGAGATGAAGCCTCTCCCCCGTGCTCTGGTTCTCAATCAGCATTTCTACGCACAGTTTTTCCAGCTGTCTTTTACAACAGTTGCTATAGGAGAGGCTAAGGAGGTGCTAGCTGCTCTTGAGGCAATCTACTTTTTCCAGCCTTGTCCCTGGGAAAGGGAGCTGTGACCCCCCTTCTGCCTTTGTAAGTTCACTTAAAAGAGAAACAGAACAATTAAGTGGCTTTGCAAGAAATGAGGGATTAATATCAGCTTTCAAACTCAAAACATATGGTACTGCCATGTCATGCAGTCTACCTGACTTCCTATTCTGATATTAATAGAGCTGTTCCAAGTCAGATCCAATGTCCCTGTAAAAGCTGCAAGATGCCTTTTTATTCTGATGTACCTTCAAAGCAGATCCAGTGCTCAGGTCCTTCAGATGTTAACAGAAACAGGACTGCTCATGTTGTGTGAAAAAATTAATACAACTGAAACAATTTCGGAGTTTGCTACTCAAAGAAAAAAAAAAAAGATACTTAAGTACAAAAATGTAAATAGCTTTCATTCCTTTTCCCCTAGAAAAAAAAAAAAAAAAAAACGTAAAACGTTAACACCCTGGTTGTCCAATGGTTTCTACGGCAGCCAACTCCCACTCCATATGAACAAACACTCCTATGGCAACAGGCACAGATGAAACTTTAAATATCAAAATCAAGATGAACAGAAACACATCCAACTCCAAGCATCTTTATCATGCAAGAATCTGTTTGGAGCGGAGATTAGCAAAACAGGCAGCAAGACTGAGGTGAGACAGTCATTTTACCTCTGCTCACATGACTGTATCAAAGGCACACCTTTGAGCCAGTTCAGAAGCTGTCCTTTTATCTGTGAAAGCTCAAGTCAATTGTGCTTTGAATAAATATTTCTCTGTAGTAACACTTGAACTGCTGCATTATATAAGAGACATACAGAAAGTATCTGTGCATAGCCCTGAAGCACTTTGAGTGTAGCCCTCGCCAGGTTTACTCATGGACCACAGAAATTCTAGGCGTCACCAGCACGCAGAGATGTTGGGCACACTCCCAGAGACACGGCATCCAGGGAGCCAACCAGCAAGCGAAGAATCAGAACAGAAGAAGGAAGAGTACCACTCTAACAGAGTAAGAGCAAAACCAGCTTGTAGGAGCTCAGCAGTCAAGGTTACTACTGCAGAACCCAGACCAAGACACCCTAACAAGTGGTAGGAGCATCTGCTAGGACAACCTCACTGCCTCAAGTTCATTGTTGGATTCAAACAAGACTTTTATGAAATAATTCAGATACCAACTAATAACTTGCTCAGCTGCTCACCTTGTTATTAGTTTTTTTTAGTTGTCACCTGTTCATTCATAAAAAAAACAAGAACACAAAAAAACACCCTAGCCTTGAAGATTTAACAAGAACAACCACCACCACCACCACCACCCAGAAAATCCAGGGCCTAAGGCAGGGAATAGCAACTCAATTTTGTAAGGCTTTGGGCTGACTCTTTTTGGAGCATCACATTGCTTAAAACCAAGTGTCTTTCTAGTGCCATCAATAGCACATTAAGTACAACAACAGAAGCTGTACAGATCACAGCAACCCTGAGATAATAAAAGGATAAAGGAAGAGATGGGGTAAACGTGAGAGGCATATGGTAGTCTTGTCACCTAAAAGATTCTGAGAAAGACGTTCTTGCTAATTACACAACAGGAGCAGCAGTGGAAAAGAATTAGTATATTTCAGTTTTTCCTCTGTTTAACACACACACGCACACACTCCCCTTAATGGTATCCGTGCAGGCTTCCCTGCAGAACCGTCACTAGTGTTAAAAGCAAATCTTTAGTACTTTCTTCCTATCCGTACAAAGTGCAGTTGGAATTGATTTTGATCTCCCAAAAAGGCTGCAGAAAGGAAAGAAAACCTTCTTCTCCCTTCTGCCTAAGTCACCCCCATCCTAGTTCCCCTCCCTTCCAAGGAATTTTTTAAAAAAATAAAAGTCCTAATTAAGCATGATCAGCTTGAGATTAGTTTTGTCATCTTCTTCCAAAAAGAAAAAAATCCCAAACAAAAAGCAAAACAAAACACACAGTCAATGCCTCACCCACCCCAAAAGTAATAGTTCCATTTAAAAAAATAAATAAATAGTGTGTATATTTCATGCTGAGAAAAAAAAAGTCACAGAAATTATTAGCTTTTGGTTTTCCCTCCCCTAAACAAGACACCAGGCATTTTCTCCCCCCTCCCCTGACGTAGACATGATGGTACATTCCAACCGGCAATGTGCATCTGTGTTGAAAATGAGTTTTCACTCCTGCACGGTCCCACATGCATCAGGGAGCATCCAGCTAGCTGCTAAAGCAGAGCAAAGGCTTTTCAGGTTTTGGGTATGGTCCCTGCCTGTTCCTTTGGTCCGTCTGTTAAAAGGCTCCTTGCTGCTCCCAGGTCTCTGCTCTCGTCTTTCTCCGTTAAAACGTGCACTCTGGTCCACACACCTCCTGAGTCACTGGAGCTTTGTACCCAACTTGCGCTGTCTGTTTCTGCAAAAGCGGCACAAGGGAGCGGAGGGTGAAAAAGGTGGCCCTTAACCCCATCGCAGAGTTTTGTGGCAAACCACTGGGCAAAAGACATAAGGATTAAAGTAAATTAGACTCTGCTTATCTCCACAAAAATAAAGCTGCCTCCGCCATACTCTACAGGCGGATCAGTCCCTCCCCTACTGTTTACAGTTCTACAACAGCCACCCTGTCCGAGTGTGCACAAGCTCACATGTGATGTAAGCCTACATCACATTTGCTTACAAAAAACATAGGCTAAGGAGTCAAAATATTGACTTCTTCATGAAACATTCATTAACTGTAACATATCCCAACAGACTCGCCTTCCAGATGCTGCAGTTAACCCACAGTTTGGTCTTCCTTCACTCTATGCTATTCTATCCACAGAAGCTATCTACCTATTGGAAAATAAAGTAATTGATAGCTACATCTGCCAAGGCAAACCAGCTACAGCTCTTCCCCCCACCCATCAGGTTACTTACCTTGCCTCTGCTCTCGTGACCGTGTATTCAAACCACAGGATGTTAGGAATGAGGCTGGTATCTCGGATTAAAAAGAATTCTGAAATTGGCCTGAAAAAGGATAAGGAATTGGGGTGGGGGAAATTAATAATTAGACTCCTCCCCCCCCCCCCCCCCCCCAATCTTTTTCTAACAATAAAATACATAGCATAAAAACTGGTCCAGTGTTAACATTAATATTCGGTTACCCTTCAGTCTAGGGAGAAGATATCTTGTTAAATTTAATCAGAAAAAAATGCTGCTGTTTTCCTTTCCTTATAAAAGACTTCCTGACCCTATTAAATTTAAATGGGATTGCAATTTCACTAGGTCATCAGGCATTGATTAAGAACAGTCTGATCTACCTGAAAACTACTACTTAGTACTGTGCCTTCCTCCAACACTTTGCCACACCTCACAACTTTGGTAGAACTTTAGAAACATACCAGCTTCCTAAACTTCCTCTCTCCACTCCCCACACGAAGCAAGGATATGTGATCCGTTGTATATACAAGCACAAGAAAAACCACAGACAAACAAGTTATATAGTCAAACAATAGTAAGCAAAGCTGAAGTAGAATCCAGGAATCCTTGTTCACATTTCTAACATCTATAACTTACACAGTTTGTAGAGGTTTGAGCAACCCACTTACAATCAGGACTTGCACCAACTACAACTAAATTCTAGAGGCTTAAGTATCTTAGCATTTGTTTTCCTTCAGAGGTAAGGTACAACTACTCCAGTTGATCATGAAATCTTTTCTCGCCAGCGAGTTTTGCTGCACTACTGTTATCGCACCATTCCAAGGGACTCACTTAATAGACAAAACAGGCCTAAGGTTTTATTCCTGCAAGTCTGCATTTCTTAACAGCATAAAGAGACTTACCATGCAGCTATCCTTGGGAAGAGAGGAGTTAATATCTCTTGTGTGAAGGCAAACCAGGCTATGGCCATGATGCTTCCCGCCACACCTCCATATAAGACTTGGCTCCAGGTGTGGTAAAGCAAATAAACCCTGCAGTGGAAGAGAAAAAGTCACTAGACAGGCTTTCAAACAAGAGGATGCAGGACTCGAGGGTTGACGTTTCACTGGACTCTCTATAAAGTTCAGAGCACGTTATCCCCCAGATGTCACAAGTAGATGTTTTACTTACTTGTTTGTTAAAGAGATGGCGGGGGGGAGAGGGGGGGGGAAGACAGACAGACAGACTGGGAAACAAACTGTGCCTTCCCTGCTACAGCATTTTCAGCTTAAAGCACTTCTAGTTTGCGCCTAACTCAATAACCCTCTACATTCTTCCCAACAGATTATTGGATTAGTAGAAGAAGTATGGCTGTTGATTCCCACGAGAGATTTCTCCAGAGCCAACACCAGGACAAGCCCCCTCCAAACTACCAAAACTGGGACTTAAAGGCTTTCAGGAACAGAGCATTTTTTCCCCATGTTTTGTTGCTCCCAAATGCGACAGCATGAAGGCTACACTACTACAAAGCGCTTGCTGCAATTGCAGCCAGTCAGCAAGTGGTATTAAAGTCTGTTAAGTTACCCCTGCACGCATGCTGCATGAGTCACATTCAAAATTATTTTCATCCATAGATCATAAAGCCATTAAGATCATCTAATCTGACCTTCTGCCTAACACAGGCCACTGGATTTCTTCAAATTAATTTTTATTTGAACTGGACCATATCTCTTTTTAAGAATTCTGACAGGACATTTTTATAAATAACCACTAATAAGGAATCAGCTCTAGTATACAGTCAACAGTGCCAACAGGTAATTGCTTTTCTGTGGAAAACATGGCCTTATTTCTAGCCTGAATCTGTCTGGTTTCCAACCACTGGATCTCATTATATTTTTTTAATCTACTAAAGAGAATAAACTTCATTATCGAAATTTCATTTTCTCGATTCATCATCTTAATGTAACTAAATCATGCAAGTCAAACAGCTATAAATGTTTTTATTAACTAACGCTCAAAACACAATCAGTTTGGTCAACTGTGAGCAATCCACATGCTGCAGACGCTGGCGTGCCAAGGCATGGTGCAACACTTTTGTGATTAGTGCTAGAAAGAGGGCTAGGCAGTGAGTCTGGAGCACGGCCATGCAGCCAACAGGGATTTAAATAGGCTTAGCAGATCTTGGGTTTTATAAATGCTTCTATGTAGCACCACACATGTAGCACCTTTATATGCCCATATAAAGGGGCTCGTGACAACACTGCAACTTCCCCAAAGCTCTCAATTGTACAACGTGTTCACCAAGAATTAGATCAGAAGCGCAGGATAAGGAATGCCAGGTCTGCTGCTGTTAAAGGCCACAAGACTGTACAAGAGTGCAAGACAAACAACTGCTCCATACCTACTATATGACACTAGCAAAGCCGCTGTCACGAGGCAGATGGACAGCACATGTCGCCATAGTAAATCCAGAAACCTTGCATTGTTTGTTTGGTGCATTCTGAAAGAGATGGAAAGCCATTAACACAGTGCCAGAGAGCCAAGCAGTCCATACAGCTATTTTTACTATGCCTGAAACGCTAGAAAAGCTCTACTCCAATGTGGTCACGGGCAGCTCAACACCATCTCAGCATCAGTTTGTCCCACTGGCAGCACTTAAAGAGAAGCCAGAGAGCCCTACTTCTCTCTCCAACTGTTAACAGAGATTGTTGTGGTGGAAGGCAGAACGCTCAGTTACTGCAACTGGTGTGAAAGGCACATGCAGAACATATGCAACAGGGAGCCAAGACAGAGTCCTCCATTGTCCACAGAGCTAGAAGGAACTGGGAGTTTTGCCTTCCTCCACACTAGAGACTGCAAGACAGAGCCATGCACCAGTGAGAATTTCAGAAAAGCACAGTGCAGCATACAAAAGTACTACTTCGCAAAGGAGATAAAGTAAAAGGCCACACAAGTGGGCAACAGCTATTACCTGAAAGAGTGCAGAAAACCCCACTGACAAAATAGAGAAGACACATGAGAAAGCAGCTCTTCGTTTTGTCTTGCCTATCCCCCCTCTCCCCTCACACTAGAGGGTCAATACATCAGGGCTCATAAAGAGCAAATCCAAAACCTGTGTTCAGATACACTCATGGCAGGGCTTGCATCAGGAGGCCCACCTCTACCTTTCACTTTCTAGCAATGGCAACTACAGGCCTACATTCAGATTGAGATAGGCATGTTTCATCCCATCTAGCCACAGAGCAAATCATACAGGTCCTTCAATTTAATCCTGCTATACAACTGAACAGGAAGAGGAGGGGCAAACAGCAAGGAAGCCATCTACTCAGGTGTTTCAACATGTTAACAGCCAAAACCTGACAGTGAGTTTTTACCTTAAATAAAGGAACAGAAATGAATAGACAGAGAAAAACCACATGAACTGGGAGTGGCTGGACGGCATCCCATATTTTGTGGTCACTGTTGAATGGGCTTCTGGGAAGAGAAGAAGAAAGAGTTTGGTCAAGGTCTATTCTGTACACGGCAGCTGGAATGCTCCAAAGGTGAAGCTGGACTGGACTGCCCTGCTGGAGTGTGTGTGTGTTTGCGTGTGTGCGTGCATAAGCTCACAGGATATGTCTCTACTCAGATGGCTGCCAGCCCTCTACACCCAAACATCCAAAGCCAACGTGAGGCAAAGCGAAAAAAATACCCTCTAAACCCCATACTATTGTTGCTCCATTGAAACAAAACAAAACACCACACAACCGGCACCATGACACAAACAGGCCATACTATACCTTCGCAGGGCCGTGGCTCCCGGATAACATTTTTTATTAACCAGTTCACTCCTTCATTGAAAGCCAGCCCTCCCAAGAAAGAGATCTGTGAAGGCAAGACAGCTGTGTCATCCTATTTAGAAGATCCAGCTACTTATCAGACTCTTTGTTGATAAAAACTCCAAGCCATGTGTTTCCGATTTTCCTTTTTGACTATTAGAGTTAAAAATCAACAGCCTCAGAATTCTCTAGTTGAGAAAGGAGAGCATTCGTCTTTCAGCCTACTTCGTGCATCTGACAACACATTGTGTACACACAGCTCTTCAGTAGATGACTCATAGAAAAAAAAGACAGAAAAATGACACCACATAGCAGTTATAGCCACTGCTTTAATACGCTTCCATCAGCAAGTGCAGAAAATTATACTTTCAAACAGAGCAAGTTTCAAGAGGGTTTTTTTTGTTTTTTTTTTTATACTGATGACCAACAGGGGGAGCACAAACATCATTATTTGGGTAAAGGGCTAAAAGAGGGGCTTTTTAGGTGTTCTGGCTTTTCCTCCCTCTAAGAATATTTCCATCTCGAAACCGCTGTCTTCAGTTTACCATGCAAAGTTGTATTCCGGATCGTGGCAGGCTAGTACCATTTGTTTTCAGTATTTAATTCCGTAGCCCATATTCCTCCCCTAAATTATCCCTGCTGCTGTGACCAAGTTCTTGTCTGATAATTGTACTCTCCCTCCTTACTGCTCAGTCTTATTTCAGGTGATGAAGCAACTTTTCACTCTATGCCCTGAGCTATGGGCCAGTCTGCTGCAAGCCAGCTAGCAAATGCCTTGCTCCAGCTCAGTGGTGACTTCTCACGTACAGAGCCGGAGGCTAACCTCAACACTTCCCTCGTTAGGGACACCTAACGAGCCTCTGTATTCAAGTGCCTATGAATGTGTGACAACTGTTACTCTAGCTTATTCTCTGCTTTGGGTCAACAAGAAACCTTTGGACTACCGTAACTGTCAACAGCTGCCTCTCTCCTAGGCACCATCAGCTTCATAACCTAGAAGTCCCATTCCCAGGCCCTTGAGCCACTTGACCCATGGCCTTATATCAGAAACCTGCTGCCAAAATTCTTTCACTGGCCCCATTTGATCTGTCTGTTTACTAAGGGCAAACGTTACAAGTGGCTTATACCTCCTAAAGGGAATTTAGTCATGAGATTGATTCCCAACTACCCGTCAAGGCAGACGGAAAGCATTAAATAGGATTGGGGTGGGGGGAAGTCCCTTTATGTTCATTTGAAAAGAAGCAAGAGTTCTTTTCTGTCCCTAGTGTTCAACGTACTGCAAGGAAGTGGCCTTTAGACAAGTCCACTCCTTTGGAAATCTATGGATTTTATGTTATATCCCATTTGCTGCCTCAGTACAGTTCAGAGAAAGCACATCCTACTGAGTTACAGACATTATTTCCAGCAGCACCTGAGCACCTGTATGTTCTGCCCATCTTGCAAAAACCTACCAGTGGTATGATCCTATGGGATCTTGGGAAAAGGAAAAAATATTATTAATTTGTACTCTGCAACACCGTTTCTCAGCCATCTCTCACTGATACCTGTGGACCGAATGCCCAAAACATACCAGAGTCAGAAAGTCAGCAAAGGCTAGACAGTCTTTTAACCTGCTACAGGTGACAGTATCTCCTGCTGTTCTTTGACAGGAAGATCACCTCACCTAAGCTTGCTCTTTAAAGACCCAATAAATAAGTGAAGTGAACACAGAAGCAGCAGGTCATAAAGGAAAAATATTATTGCCATAGGAAAATGCTGGGAGGGGAGAGGAGGACTCACCGTGTGAAGCTCTCTCTTGAATATGATGAGCGTTACAAAGCCAACAATAATGAATATTGGACCAAGACTCAAATAAGCTAAAAGCTGACCAGAGAAATCACCTAGGGAAACACAAACAAACAAATCAAATCAGCTTGAACTTCATGTGTACTGGCCTGCCCCCAAGACTTAGGCCAGTTGGTGCCCCAAATCACTGAAAGCAGAGGGCTAAGCTCGACACCGCAGTAGGAGAGCAGTAAGTCCCCGTTTCGCAGACTGACTCTTCCTGCTGCAGCCCGCAAGGAAGAAGGTAGGGAAGGCAGCAGCGCTTACACTCAGGCTCGAGAGCAGCGATGAGAGGACCTTGGCATCATTCAGCAGAGATTACTGGCAGCCAATTTACAACAACGACCACCAGTGTGGGCCCAGAGTCACTTTAATCCAACATATGCACAGGCCTCTGTGGAAGAGGCAGCGTCTTTCCCTCCCCCTCATACTGCCTCCCTGTGCCAGCAATTACCAGCAAACCCTTCCCAAGCAAGTCTTCCCCCTTCCCTTCCTAAAATGGGTTAGTTTTCAGCTCCCTAATCTGTCTCACCATGTGTCTGCATGAACACTAGCATTAGCAAAATGGAGAGGAATTAAATAGCTAAACACAGGGGGAGAGGAAGAGAAAAAGAAGGAAGCCTGCTTTTTACCAGCAGCCCCCATACTGAAGTGACTGTGGCTTCCACCCCGAGGAGCTAATCACCTCCCAGAGCCTGGAAGCAGCAATGGGGCCTCACAAGAGGACGTAAGGTACCCGAAAACCATCCGCTTTATTCTGAACGATCAGACACAGGCAAACATCAACAGTAAAGAACAGCTACACCTTTCTGTCTAAGACTTTGTCTGTTTGTTCCATGAAAAAGGTCACATACAGAAGTATTTGGTGAGAAGATGTTAGTATAAACACAGAGAAACAGAAAACTACCAGACTCGTTTTGCTTCGAGATCAACAGCGCACCATCAGGGGAAAGAACTATCTACCAGCAAACCCTTAAAGGCAGTAGCCGCTCTAACAAATGCGTTATGAACCCAGGGAGCTGTTTAAGAGACAGAGGATTTTCTATACCTTATCTCAGAGACTAGATCTCCTCCATCCCATCACAGAAAACAGATGGAACAGTCCTCCCCCACAAACTTACGATCTTCCCTCCCTCCTCTCAGGAGGAAACAGGATGCCTCTGCAAGGCCAAGTGCTGGACTCATTCCTAGATCAATTCCACTGCAAGACACTCAGTCTCCACAAGCCAGGCACCCACATTTTAAAACAGCACTTGGTGCAATGGACTTCAACCTCAGCCTCTCTCAATAGTGCAACTGAAAAGTGACCGCACTGCTACAAAGTTCATGTGGCTGCTCATGTTGCCACCTGGTCGTGGCTATCTCAGGTACAGCGCGCAGCACAGACTCCTCTTTAAATTCCAGACTCCGCATTAGATTTGGGAACGAGCTACATCATCAGCAAAGAGAATTTAGAAGAGTTTTAGTTTGTCATGCCAGGGAAATTTGGGAGAGCTGGAAGAAGAAACCCTTAAGAGCACTGGGTTTTCATAAGAGTGAGGTTTGTTGTTGTTGTTTTTGGTTTTTTTCTTCTTCTTTTAACCTGAGAAGCATTAGAAGACACTGAATCCAAAACTCCTTTCCTGAAACATATGCAGCATTTACCCAGCTGTCAAATGGGTGCCAAATGCTACCAAATCAGAATAGCAGTGTATTGTGGAAACACTGTAAGCGACAATATCAGTTACCTGGCAATAAAGCATCAGGCTCCTTATGGTTTTACACAAGTCACGGACATCCTACAAAATGAATCATGAATCATGTCTTAAATGATGAGGAAATTCATGAGCTGAGAAAACAGCCAACAGGCAACCCAGATTAATCTGAAAGCCTTGAAAATGCTTTCCAGTAGTCTCAATTCCAGCGTTATCAACTGGAATTGAACTGGATTCCTCATTCAGGAATCACCATATTGCAGATCATTCACTCTGTTAACCTACGAGTCTATAAAGAATTGCTCTTTAAGACTAAAAGCCATAGTTTTGTCAAGTAGGAACCCAGCCAGATTATTTACCTTCTCAGGAGGATTCTATTTCTTGCACAGATGGTAGAAGAACACATAAGGAAGTAGTCTTTAAATTAAATAGTATCAGCCGTGTCAAACTCAATATCCTCCATTAGGTTATCATATAATATGCCCAATAAATCAAGTCATCCAGTCTTCAATTGCACACACCTGCATTTGAACCCGATGAGGCCAAGAAGCAGAAACCTTACCAGCGCTCCCCCAGCTCCTGCCTCCAGGCAGAGTACCAGTCCTTTACTCGGGCAATCTCCCTCTTTACGCAATAGCTCCCCAAACGTTTCAGCTCTGTCCATTTAGAATAGAACACAGGTAGTATCGATAATATTTCACGTTATTGTAGCTAACAGCAATCAAAGAGAATCACGTTTCTAGAGCCGCCTCTTCTAGGTGAGGCAGGCAAACAAACAGCTATGCATTATCTCAAGGCAACAGTTTTGTTATGTCCTGGGAGCTACACCAGAAACCCACTAACACTGTCATAAACATATTCACTGGATTAGCAGATTAAGCCAGGGCTGTACTAACTAGAACAGCTCTGAAACGACTGGAAATCCCCAGTGAAGAACGCAAAGTGAGCTCTGAGAGAAAGGCCATCTCCCATTGCCGCGCAGCGCTCCCAGAGCCTCAGAGCGTGATTACTTGTGTCACTTCTATCTATTCTCATGCTCCAGTGTGCTCAGAGACCTCTTCCCAGGGACGAGGCAACTGCAGGAGTGCTGACAATGTGACATCCACTTGGATCTAGCATGCAAGTTCCTCCCTACTTTTTAACTTTTTTTTTTTTTTTAAATTCATTTTGCTAAACTTAGGAATTTTAAAGAAGTTCCTACAACTGATAAGAACAAAACCTACCAAAATCATCAAAACCTCTGGAAAAATGTAAGAAAAAAACCTTTAGTATCTGGCTGTCCTCCCCCCCCCCCCCCCCCAGCCTTCCCCAGATACTATTGGGGGCTCAAAATGGAAATATACTTTTACTATATACTTATAGTATACTACATATACTATTAAGTATATATGTGTATATACACATATACGCACACCTGAATCCAGCTACTTCATTTGTAGGCACCCAAGAATGAACAGTATTTCCTCTGAAACATGCTATTTCTTCAGACTTCATTCAGTATCTGCTTCTGATCTAATTCAACATTTTACCCAGCATCCTTTCAGCACCCAGTGGAAATTGCCAAGGTTTACCACAGTAGCTTAACCTGTATATAAAATAAAAATGTGAACCAACAGCACTCTAACCACATCCTACCACAAGGTCTAGCTTTACCACTGCCACCACTGCTTCCTATTGAAGCACCTATCTGCGGCAGCTCTGCTGGTCATATGTTCTTGATGAGAAGTACGTGTGCAAGATGCACAGACAACGTGCAGTGCTTTCATGTGTACCAGTAAATATCCACAATGGATCATCACTTCTTCCACTGGTGTCACAGCTTATGATATCAGGATAGGGACAGTAAAATACCTTCAGGGAGACTTTAAGTTATGGCATAGAAGGCACACATCAGACATGAAACTTCCGCAGTAAGATCGGACTCAAAACGAGAAAGACAGAGACAACAACTGAACAGTATCTGCTTCTTTCAACAGGTATTACTTAGCTATGAGATGAGCCCTGACTGGTCAGCTGCTGCCCCAAACAGAAATGACAATGAGGGTTATTAGAACAAACATTCTTATAGAAGCTACACAAGCTTATACTGAACAGCGATGAGAGCAGCTGAGCAAAAGCACATGCAGAGCGCGAGTGTGTGCACCTTTCTTCTGACGCATCTTTTCACCAATTATTTCACTCTACGTACTTGGTTCTCCAGCTCTGCCTGCCCTTAGTAAGTCATCCTTCCTATATAAGAAAATAGCAAGATTCTCTGTCCTTCAGCAATAAAGGGATTTATCATGCCAGGTTTCTCTTCTCTTTTCTCCCCTTAAAGAGCTGCGTCCCATAAAAGAGGTCCAGAAAGTCCCAGAGTTTTAAGAATCCCAGCTGCACTGAATGAAGAGAGGAAGATTTTTTTTGTTGTTTTTGTTTTTAAATTAAAAAATCCAAACAAATGAGGGACTCAATGTTTCTCCAGTGAAACTTGCCCTACAGACAGGAAGTTGTTGAAGATGAGTTTTAAGGCTGCAACAAAGTCATTCCATACAACGTAATGCACACGGGAAACAACAACCCTAATCATACATGCACAGTGATGGGATTTAGTTTAGTTGTTATCAAACAGAAGATCTCAGACTCAAGTGTGAGTTGTTATCATCAGAGAACAATCCAATGCACTGTGGCAGTCAAGAGGACAATGAGAACATTTTTAAGGGGGGGGGGGGGTCATACTGCTACAACACTATAAGAAATTACTGTGCAAGTCTGACTGCACCATCTAAAAAAAGGAGTAAACGCAAAAAAGGTAAATAGAAAGGGGACAAAGACAACAGGTATGGAACAGTATCCATTCAAAAAATATTGAATAACTCAGATTTTCATCTGAGAAAGGACAGAGAAGATAACAGAAAGGACAGAGAAGATAACATCATGAGTGAGGCGGGGAAAAAAAAAAGGGGGGGGGGGGAAGAAAAACTTTCCTCACTGCACATAAAATAAAGGTTGTTCAATAAAATTAGCAACCGGTGGACTTTAAAGCAGAAAAGAAACAACTGCAAAGCTCAATGCCAAAGATACTGAGGAGATCCAAAGCAGAAATGTATTCAAAGAGCAATTAGACATATTCACAGACTATATAGCTTTTACAGATCAATCAAAGGACATAACTGTTCTGATGCAATCACCAGCTGATTACTGGAAAGCTATATAGGGAAGGATTACTGCTGCATACCTGCTCCTTATACCTTTTCCATTAAGCATCTATTATTGGCTCCTATCAGAGACTTAACACTATGCCAAATCATCCTTTGGTCTCACCAAGTACACTTGCCAATACGAACAGCTCCAGGACCAACCATTTCCAAATGTGATATCAGGACAACATTT